ACAAGGCTGTTCTCATCTCCACTCAGCAGCACCTGTGGCCCCATGAGGCCCTCCCAGCACCTCCAACTGGAGACACCACCCTTCTCTCAGCTTGCTCAGCCCTGGGCCTCCAAGGAAGCATTTTCACGGTCTGCCTCCAAAGACAACAGTGTGTGCGTGTGCGTATGTGTGCATGTATGTGCATGTGCATGTGTGTGCATACACGAGCTATGAGACTGAGAAGGTGAAAAGTTGGCATCTGCCCCTGGAATGTGTACCAGGACAGGAGCCTGGGTCCCTCTCAGAGTCCTTGTCTCTCTCTGGGTGCCTGGTCCTTCCTAACCTTCAGCAATCCCCTGCTACCTGCAGAGTGAAGCCAGAGCAGAGCAGGACCCGCAGGGCTCACCACCATGTCCTCCAGCTCGTCCTCCAGCTCGCCACCTCTCCCGCTGCCCCACGGCCCATCCTGGCCCCACCCTCGGAGAGCACTGCCCAAGCCCCAGCTCCATCGCTAAGCCACAGCACCTCCAGCTGGAGACACCTGGGGTGGCCTCTGAGCTCCTCAACAAAATGGGGACCAGGAAGCACAACAGACGCAGACGACCATGCACACCAGCACTGTGAATTGGGAGTGCCACCACGCCATGGACCTCAGGCATCCACCAGTCCTCGGAGGCAGCCCGCATAGTGATCAAGGTCAAAGGTCCAAAGGCCCAAAGTCGAGCTTGTCCCAGGGCACCCAGGTCTACTCCTGGCCCTCCCACTTAGCTGTGTGACCTGTGACCTTGGACAAGTCCCCGGCTTTTACTCAGTCTCTCAGGTGTACAACAGGGGTGATAAAAGTTCTAATTCTATGGGGTCCTTGCCAGGATTAAAGGCACTAACTCTCATAACGCACTCAGAACGGTCCTGATGCGTAGAAAACCCCTCATGGGTGTTAGCTCTGAACACTTGTCATCCTGACACTGTTTCGCTTTTTGCAAGGTGAGGGTCACTGCCATCCTCTCAACTCTTGGTGCAGCCTGAGGACGGGGACTAGATAGGGCAGAAGCCTTGGGACGTGGTGGGCCCCAAGTGGATATGTGCAAAATGAAGGAGCAAATGAGCGATTCGGCTGAGGCACACAGTGACCTGTGTCCCAACAAGAGGGACAAGAGCGAGGAGAGTATGACAGCAAATGCCAGAGAATGGATGGCAGCCCTTTGGACGCTGCGCAACCCCAGGCCCTCATGAGCACCACCTGGAGCCTGGCAGCCAGGCAGCCACCCGACTAGGCCGTAACTAGCAAGCACGGGAGGGAGGGGTTTGGGCCAGGAGAGGGGCGGGACAGGCCACGCTGGTTCTGGGGTCCGGGCAGGTGGGCTGGAGCTGGGGAGCATGGCCATGGCTCTGGCTCCTCAGCGCCCCTTGGGCTGGATGTTCACGCTCACGCTTGGACATATAGGCACAGCAGAGACAGGTCAGCCACCAGCCCAGACCTTCCCAGACGCTCAGCCTGTCCCTCCCACCCCTCTCAGCACTGTCCCTTCCTACCTTCCAAGTTCTGTCCTGAGTCCCATCCCACTGAGGGGATTCCTGGGCAACAAGGACTTACAACGCCCACCCCACAATCCCGGGGAAGTAGGCCTGGCCAGAGCTCATTCCGGCTGGGTGGGTGGTGAGTGCACCATGGCCTGAGGGCAGGGCCCGGGCTGGCGGCCAGCGCACCAAGGTGTGTCAGATGCAGGTGGCCCTCGGTGCTCCTGGCACCTGCTCTGCGTGCAGCCCGTGTACCGTGGGACCTCAGGGGTGCCTGTCAATGGATCCTTTCTCATGAATCTTCATGGGAGGCCTGCAGCCACAGTGACTAGCAAAGCCATTTGGAGCCCAAGTATCAGCCGGGAAGCTGGTCAGCAGAGGCAGAAATGGAGCAGATGGACAGAGAGAAGCAGGGTGACCACACAGAGGGCTCCTGGGAATGCTGTGCCTGTCTTCTGGAAGACTCTACAGTGACCAGGCACAGGGGGCTGTTCCCATCCTTCGGCTCTGTGCCTCTGAAGGGCTTCAGCTTTAAACACACCCTGCTGGGCCTGTCCTTGGGAAGCCAGCTCAGGGTCACCTCCCTGAGACCTCTCCTGACCTGCGGACCCAGAGATCTCTCTCTCCCCAGAGAACCCACTGCCCTACCACTTCCACTTAACAGGTACTGTGTCCTGACAAAGGCCAAATTCTTCATTATACAACAATGGTCAATTGATTTTTTCACTTAGCTGCCAAAGTATTTTCTGGAGAAAAGATGGGCTTTTCAACAAATGGTGCTGGTACAACTGGATATCCATTAAAAAAAAAAAAAAAAACTTGCCAGCACAGTGGCTCCCACCTGTAATCCCAGCACTTTAGGAGGCCAAGGCAGGAAGATCACTTGAGGCCTGGAGTTCGAGACCAGCCTGAGCAAGAGCAAGAACCCATCTCTACAGAAAAAAAAAAAAGGAAAATTAGCCAGGCACAGTGGCATGTGTCTGTAGTGCCAGCTACTCAGGAGGCTGAGGCAGGAGGATTCCTTGAGCCCAGGAGTTGGAGATTGCAGTGAGCTATGATGATGCCACTGCACTCTACCTCAGGTGACAGAGTGAGACCCTGTCTCCAAAAAAAAAAAAACAACAAAACAAAACAAAAAGCAAAACTTGAAATTGATCATTAACATTAAGGATAAGAGCTAAAACTATCCAACATTTAGAAAAAAATCTTTATCATGTTGGGATAGGCAAAAATGTCTTAGGACACAAAAACCATGAATCACAAAATATAAAATTGATAAAGTGGACTTTATCAAAGTAATGCTGCTCTTAGAAAGATAATATTAAGAAAATATTTGCAATACATATATCTGAAAAAGTACTGGCATCCAGAATGTATAAAGAATTCCTATAATTCAAAAATAATAAGACAGGTTGGCCACGGTGGCTCACGCCTGTAATCCTAGCACTTTGGGAGGCCGAGGTGGGAGGATCATTTGAACCCAGGAGTTTGAAACCAGCCTGAGCAACAGGTGAGACCCCATCTCTACAAAAAATAATAATAATTAAAACAACTTAGGCCGGGCACGGTGGCTCATGCCTGTAATCCTAGCACTCTGAGAGGCTGAGGCGGGTGGATCGTTTGAGCTCAGGAGTTCGGGACCAGCCTGAGCAAGAGTGAGACCCTGTCTCTACTAAAACTAAAAAGAAATTGGCTGGACAACTAAAAACACAGAGAAAAAAATTAGCTGGGTACGGAGGCGCATGCCTGTAGTCCCAGCTACTCGGGAGGCTGAGGCAGGAGGATGGCTTGAGCCCAGGAGTTTGAGGTTGCTGTGAGCTAGGCTGACGCCACGGCACTCTAGCCCAGGCAACAGAGCGAGACTCTGTGTCAAAATAATAATAATAATGACAAACAACCCAATAAAAAATAGTGGATAAAAGATTTGAAGATTCTTCACAAAAGAAAACATACCAATGGCCATACCTAAGCACATGAAAAGATGCTCAACATTATTAGTCACCAAGGAGATACCACTGCACACTCACTGGCATGGCTGAATTGAACAGACTGACAATACCAACTGTTGGTGAGGATTTCAAGTATGTGGAACTCTCATACATTGTTAGTGGCAAAGTAAAATAGTGTAATCACTTTGGAAACCAGTTTCTTATACAGTTAAATATACATTTATTATTAAGCCCAGCAATTCATTTAGCCCAAATGCTATAGACCGAGTATGTTTCCCCCAAATCCAGATGTTGGAATCTAATCCCCAACATGACGGTATCTGGAGATAGGGCCTTTGGGAAGTGATTAGATCCTGAGGGCAGAGCCTTCGTGAATGGGATTAGTGCCCTAATAAAAGAGACCCCAGAGAGCTCCCTCATCCCTCCCACCACATGAAAACATAGTGACAAAACAGCTGTCTATGAACCAGGAAGCAGGCCCTCAGCAGACGGAATCTGCCGGCACCTTGGTCTTGGACTTCCTGCCTCAGGAACTGTAAGAGATAAATTTCTGTTGTTTATAAGCCACCCAGTCTTTGGCAATTTTTTAATAGCGTCCCAAGGGACTAAGACACAAAAGAAATGAAGGTCTATACGACGATTTGTGTAGAAATGTTCACAGCAGTTTTATTCATGATGGCCAAAAATCAGAAACAACCCAATGTCCACCAACAGGAAAATGGGCAAACACATCATGATCTAACCACAGAGGGGCCGACTGCTCAGCAACGCAAAGGATACGCATGAACCCGCACAGCAATACTCGTGAATCTGAAAACCTTTACCTGGAGCAAAGCTAGACCCAACTGCATGCATACATCAAGTTCTGCAGAAAGGCGCATCTGACCAGCAGTGACAGAAAGTGGGTCAGTGGTTGCCTGAGGTGGGGGGGTGGGGGTTGGAGTGACGTGAATGTCCCGTCTCGACAGTGGTGGTGTTTGACACTGGTGGTGTTTGACAGTGGTGGTGTTTGCCGGGTGCATACGTCTGTCTAATCTCCTCAAGTGAATACTTAAAATGGTCATCTCTGATTGTATGTAAATTACATCTCAATAAAGTTGATTGAAAAAAGTCGATTCCTCAGAAAATTCTTTTCCAATCGCTCCCCTCCCAGACTAGGTCAGGCAGCCGGGCACACAGGGTGCGCATGCCCACCACAACCTGTATTTTTCTTCCACTGCATTTCCCGAGTTTGTTATGATGTTTTTAATTGTTTTCCTGTCAGTCAGTTGCCTCTAGACTGGAACACCACTGTCCCCACTGACTGCAAAACTGCTGGCACCACGTCTGCACGTGACAAGTGCTCAGTTAACACTTGTGAAACAAAGGCATGCAAGACCGAGCGGAGGCCAAGCCCTGGGCGGCAGCCGGCCCTGGCACCGGCCACCCCTTTGAAGCTAGAGCTCTGTGGACCGGGTGACCTCCGGGCCTCTCCACGTGGGGCCCTGGGCCCGCCAGGGGAAGTTGAGTCTGCGTAATTCCTCGGAGATCTCCAGGAAGGACTTGCCTTTGGTCTCAGGGAGGAACAAGCCAGTGTAGATGGCGCCACAGACACAGACGCCGAGGAAAAGGACATAGAGGAAGTGGGACAAGCCCTCCTGCGGGTTAAAGGAGACCCAAAGACCTGGCGTCACTCCATGAGGCCCCAGAGGCGGAGGCGCATGCCTGTAGTCCCAGCTACT